TATGTTACATATACTTCCTAAAGTAAGTATATTACATTACGTGCACAGGGAATGTAAAATCATTTAAAGGTAAACACTTCATGCTATTTTTGCAAGCACTTATTACTGAATGAATCTAAAGGTGAGTTAAAAATAGAAACAAACCAAAACCAGAAACAAGCAAAGAAGTAATTTGTTAAAAGCCTGCAAAACTTTATCAATTAAACAATTTGAAAAGAAATTTAATTCAATCAGACCAATAGTTAGTGTTTGAATTAAAATTACAACTAAACTTCACAACTGTAATAATCTATAAGTGCTAGGACAGTGTATGGAAGAATTAAAAAAACATTGAATTCAGAAGCTATTATCTAGTAATTATTTTATTATTCTTAGTTTTAGAAGATAGTTTTTAATTTTTATTAAAAGTATTTTTACTCTTTTACAAAATCTTTAATATTATTTACATTCAGATCTTAATTTTTCTGTTCTTATGGGTGGAATATTTTCTTAAATTTTAAATCAACCTTCTTGAAGTGTAATCTATAAAATCATTAGAAACGGCATAGCTGTTTACGAGAAATCGGTTAAATTTACATAAAAAAACTTAGTGTCGAATATAAAACCTCCTTTTTTGTACTCGGTTAGAACTATTGATAAAAACAATGTTGCTTTCTTTATTGCTAGTCACATATTAAACATATTTCATAATTTAAGATAAGTATTTACATTTGCTCAAAATGCTCCATTTTATCGCGGTTTTTAAATTCTAATGAGTTGAGACAAATAATTTAAGCCTTACGTAACATAAAAGTCAAATTTGAAGCTAACATTGCAATAAAATATGTCACCTTTAATTTGATATTCAAAAATACAAACGTAACCAGATTTGTAATAAACCAATTATTGGGCATTGGCATAGATACACTACGTTATGGACCGGTTTTGAAAATGTTCATTCACGCAATCTGTGCATACTCGTATAAAAATCTGTATTAAATTTCTGTCTGTGAATCTACGATTTCCTGCGAAAAGCAAGTCCAGGGGACTATATAAGGAATACTAAATCCAATTTAGTGGTTTGAATTTTTGTTTGTTTATCTACTACTGCATGAATTTCTATGAAATTTTTATATTATAGTTATAGTAATCAGTGACCCAGGGTAACCTAATAGGCTACTTCTTATCCGATTACGACTTCAAAAAAAAGTAATGTTTTCCTTAGAAGTACTTAGGTGATAGGTGATTTTATACGTGGTAGAGTCATGCTGCAGTTATATTGGTAGTATAGTTGTAGCACGAATGGGTCGGCTCGACCGGGGAAGGACCACGCTCTCACAGAATACCGACGTAAAATAGTAGATTAATACTGCTGTGTTTCGTATGCTGAGTGTAGAGAACCAGAGACCTTTTTACTGGAAACGAAGCATTCCATTCTAGTCCTCACGAGTGTAATACAACGCATCTGTATTTTGATTTGTAATCGAGGATAGATGTAGAATGTAGATGTCTATAGGCCACAGCAACCACTTACCATCAGGTGAACTGTGTCCTATAAAAAAGGTGATGGTAGGACTATTTTTTTACCTACGTCTTTTAAATTACCATCTTCTTACCTGGTCCTGTCGCCAAAAGGCATTGCTTCCACAGCTGTGTTCCGATCTGAATCAGTCAAGGAGACATTCCAGGTTAGTCGTCGGGGAAAACAACATATCTGATGATAACTAATTGAGGATAGTTTTAAGATGTGACACAATTAAGTAGGTGCTATGATTTTACCATCTGGTGGACCATAGGTTATATATTATTGATGTGTCTGTGTATGACAGTGTAAATACGCAATATAAAATGTATGTTTGAGACAAAACGAGAGTTTATACTTTACATATCTGCCTTGCGGTGCCACGAGGGGGTACATGAGGCATTGGATTCTTTTTCACATTAATATTCAAAGTTCGTTTGACATCTTTGACTCCATTTGTCATGAGGTAGAGAACGTAAAGCTCTTAAAAATAAAAAATAAAATAGCCTTTGACTACCTTAAATCTAAATAACGCCATATTAAAAAACTCTATCCAGACTAAGCTGAGACGAATCGCTAGTTTGCATTATAGTATCAAAAAGGGCACAACTTGGATTCCATGTACACATGTAATGAGACGTTCTTTACTTTGCCGTGTTGTATATCTATCGTTTACCTCCGTGCCTAGGAAAGCACGTAAAGCTGATGGTCTTACACCAGATCTCCTGTCAGCAGCATTAATTGCCGTTCCATCGGACCATGAGAGTGAGGGATTAGGTAATTCACCAGTGCTTGGGCATACACTTGGGCACTGTAGTTCTGTCCTGTGCACAATGCTAGTCTCCGTCGATACTGGTTGGGGTCACAGTAAATCTAACTGGAGAGGTTTATCTGTCTGTGTGGTTATAAGTACACTGTGTTAAAATTTTGTGAAATATGGTTCGCGGCATCGTTTCAAAACTGAATTACTTTAATTGTTATCTTGATATTAATTTTTGTTTAGCTTATTATACGGTCAATGACCACTAACAAGTTGTAAAATTAAAATCTTATACATACCACTTCAATATAAATAAAATGAGAACATCATCAATGTATTCGAAGTCAATTAAATACACATTATTAAGGATAACTCAAAAACTACTGATCAGATTTTGAACAAATTTACACGAAAAGCGCCAAATTTTAAATAAAAAAGCATCATCAAAATAGATTCACCCTGAAATAAGTTTAGAAGAAAAACACAAAAATTACAATCAAATTGAGAACCTCCTCTTTTTTTAGAGTCGGTTGAAAAGAAGAGAGGCTTCCCTTCTATTTTCTACCAAATAGTATACACGTACTATTGGAAAATCAGTTAAGTGAAAGCTATTCTTGCACGATCATTGTTCTGTGCCAAGAATACAAAAATCTCTAAACTCTATAACTTTTATGTGTCTTGTTTCTTGTAAACTTGACATGTGTTCTCAATGAGAATTGAGAACCACCACACCAATGACAGTGTCGATTACAATTTGAAATGCTGTTTTATATGTATCCGGCGAAATGATAGACATCGTGAAAAAAAGGAAGAAAAGAAAATATTTTGAGGACTTATGAAGTCCGCAACACGTATTGAATTTTTATTCCATCATTAGTGATAATCCTGCAAAATGTTTGGTTACTCCTGCAAAATCGCATTACACCATAAGCAGGATTGCTACCAGGCCTGGGCTGACGCATCGACGTATCGGAATGCAAATACAACCGCTCGTAAAAAGAATTATAATTCCGCCTCCAGGTCTTATGTCTTGCCTTGAAAAGTGTCATTGCCTTGGCAATGCAAAGCAAAACAGAATCGACATCGGCAGAATTGGCGAGAAAGTAGTTCGAATTCCTCCGGGAACACTAGCCAGCTCATGCGGTACCTTAAGGATCACCAGCTGATTAGTGACTGCCAGTACGGTTTCCGTCGGGGTCGCACAGCTGGAGATCTTCTGGGTTACCTAACTCATAAACGGGTGGAGGCAATAAAGTCCAAGAGGGAGGCTTTAGCGAAGACCTTCGATCGGGTTTGGCACAAAACGCTTCTTACGAAGCTTCCTTCCTTTGGGCTTCTCGAATAATTGTGCAATTGGATCACCAGTTTTGTTGCAGAATTACTGAACAAAGTCTCCGACTGGTGGCGACTAAATCTAGTTCAGTTCAATCCCCAGAAGACACAAGTTTGTGCGTTTACCGCTAAAAAGAACCCCTAAGATACGACGAATCTTCTCAGTTTCAAGGCACTCAACCTCGGCGTCGACATATCGAGTGGCGTGCAGTTATGTGGTTACTTGGAAGTGACGGTCAAATTGGCCTCTAAAAAGCTTAGCGTGCTCAGCAGTGCGGGACAGTATTTAATTTTCATGTCGGCACACCGCCTGCAACTTTACAAGGCGCACATGGAATACTCTTCCCATCGATACGGCTTAGGGACCTTCAGGAAAAGAGCCTACTCCTTTTTAAAAGGCCGGCAATGCATCTGCGATTCCTCTGGTATTGCAGCTGTTCATGGGCAGCGGTAGTCACTTACCATCAGGTGAACCGCATGCTCGTTTGTTCCCTCTTTTATAAAAAAGCAGCAAAGCGAACTCTTACCCATCCAAAAACCCTCTCAAAAATGTAATGAGGCATCTGTGGCTATTCAACAGTCTTTTATTTATTAATCTACTAGCAGTCACATTTTTGGCAATAGTAAGATTTTTATGATCTCTGATATGAAGACCATACATAAGATAAGATCATCAAATCATGAAACATTATTTTTTAAGATAAATAAATAAAAAATAAAAAATGGTATTCTGATATTGTTCCTCTAACCCTGATCTTATTACAATCTTTATTCATGCTTTTTGATTCTGTATCAAAACTTTTGGAGATAATTGGCGCTTTTATATACCCTCCTATTTTAATCCCTAAAACTAATCCCTTAATGCGCTATCAAAATCAGTATTCAAACGTATAGAAATATTTTCTTTTTCAGAAAATTCGACCATTTTTTTTTATTTGCAATTAACTGTATTTGGTTTTATTCCCTCTTACTAACAGGAGTATCGGCAAAGCGGGGTCTTTGACAATCCTCTTACTCCCCGGACAGTGCAGAGCTAATAAAACCCACGTACAATATGAAAATTAAACTATTTAATTTAAAATTTAAAATTTTAATGGACGAGTTACCTAAAATGAAGTTATTTCTACACGTTTGAATTTTGATTCTGATGTTGTATATGTAAAATATTCTCTGAGAAAAACGATCTTGATATACACGCTGTGGTCACAGAATAAATAATAGTACTACATAATGTGGTGATTAAATTAAGGGTTATGTTTTGACAGTTATGGTACGGAACACTAAAAATGTAGCTAAGCCGTAGTGCACGTGAGCGAAGCCGCGTGAAAAGCGAGTAATAAATGTATAAAATTAGTAGTAGGCTAAGCAGCATAACAACTTAACATTAACATTACGTTGTTTCACAAGGTGTGGAGTGGACGCGCTCACCTTCTGATATCCGAAGGTAAGAGAATATTTAATAATAATCATATTGCTATATTACATTTTAATACTAGACGAAGCAAGTAAATTTGTTATTAAAAAAAAAGTCTCCCCATAAGTTAGTCAATGATATTTTAACTTTTTGTTTTGTAAACTTTTAAAACTATTCAAAGCTTAAAATGTATAATACCATATGTGTTTTTTAAAGTTTAAAGACATAAGTTACTTAAACTTTCAATGCAAAATTTACACAACCATATATATTATTATAAAAAAATATATGATTTTTTAAAAATTTTATTGTAATTGATAGCGAATTAACTACTACAAGTTTTGTTGACGATTTATAAAATAGTGTGGTTTTGTTACTTTAATCACGTATTTTTATGTTGTTTAGAATGTAGGACTTATTTATAATAACGTTGTTACTTACATGGCTATTATATAATTACGGTATTACATCTTTAATTATATATACGGCAGAAACTACTTGACAACAAAAACGGAAGCATACGAAAAGCTCACGTAATGTCCATAACACGTTTGGTGCGTACATACGTTACGCATCAAACTTATCAAAACAGAAAAAGTATCGATCTCGACTTTTAGGGTGAAATATCGATTCACTGGTTCGAGTCAATACTATATATCGATTAGAAAATCGATCTTTTTGGTACAAGAAATCGATCGATGCCTAGTTTGCAGCAGAAAACAGTTGGCCTTGTTGTAACTAGCGTGTTGATCTCCACACATGCTTCCGCAATATTTTGAATTCATAATATTACATCGAGGCTTATCCTTCACCGCTGATCGCACGGTCGATAAACAGAATTTTTTATATGTTTAACTGTGTTTAAATGAAATAATTCAAAATTTAAATCTTTATTTAATTTTATAATGTTATTTCATGTTGTTTATATGTGCCTTTATTTGAATTAAGGTTAAATAATTAATTGAGCGTATGGAAATCTCCAGTTGTTTTAAGTTAAGTGATTTTTTTTAATTCTCCAGTAATTTTTGGTTGTAATGTTGAAAGAACTGGCTTCTTTTATGCGCAGAGGACTATTTGCTTGATATTAAGAGACATAAATAACAATTTTCCTGATAACAAGTCCACCTGATGTTAAGTGATTGCTGTGGCCCATAGACATCTACATCTATCCTCGATTACGAATCAAAATGCAAATGCGTAATCACCCGTGAGGACCAAGATGGAATGCCTCGTTTCCAGTAAAAAGGGTCTCCGGTTCTCTACACTTACCAAAAAAGAAACACAGTAGCGTTAAGCAGCTATTTTACGCTGGTATTCTGCGAGAGCATGGTACTTCCCCGGGTAATTATTATAAACTATAACATATATCACAAGGATATAGACTACTACTACTGGTTTCAATTTTTTAAGAAAACATGCCTTGAACGTTAATATTTATAAAATTCTCAAATATTAAGATCAAATTATGAAATAGTTACCTGTTTACGTACTTTAACTTTTACCATCCATATACTAAAGTATTTTTAATTCATAACCACATCCTAATCCTAATTTATAAATAATTTTATTGTTTCTCAATTTATATTCCCTGTATTAATCGCAAAATTTAAATAATTGTGCAATGGGTGCGTTTGGCAGAAAAAAGCGCTAGCGAGCGCTTATAAGCGCTGAAATAGTTTTCGGCCAGGACACGATTGCTACTTCAGTAGCGCTGACACAATCCGCCATTTTGCTTATTTAATTTGTTTGTTTTGAAGTAGAGTTTATAAGTTGTTTTGTGCAATATTAGTTTTAAGTAATATAATGACATGAATAAACATATACATTTTATTAAAAATTCATGATTGGTAAGTTTTTAATATGAATACTTTACAAACATATATTTAAATTAGGTTAGATTCCCCCCGTTAAAACTAACATCGTGTCCTGGAGGAAAATAGCTACTTACGATTTGACAGCGCTTACCGCTTACGATCGCCATTTTGCTTACAAGCGCTTGCTAGCGCTTTTTTCTGCCAAACGCACCCAATGTTCTACCAAAGCAAGGCACAGAGACAGACAGATTTTTTCATTTACCTTTTTTATTAACTGGCTTTACGGCTCTGGGTTCCAGCCCTTCTGAGCCTTTTTATTCACCACACTTGGATACGCCTAACATAAGAAATAAATTACAAAAATGCCACAGATTCTCAAAATACTAGTGCTGAACATAGGCTTCCACCATAGTTTGCCATTGTAACCATGCTCGGCATGCTTCAACTGCATCATAAATCTAAAATGTCACTTACGCATTTTTGCAAAAAATTCGGTACTTAAGAAAAGACGTAGAAGATATTGTACCTTCTGATTGATAGCGCCATAATTAACACTAACATTTAAAAATAATAGTGGATATAAAATAAAGTCGCTTCCTGCCGTCTGTAAAATAGAATAGAATATTTTTTATTCAATATTGATTACAAGTAATTCTTATTGAAAGTCATTTTTTATTTTACCACTAGTTCGAAAAAAAACTCTGTCCTGGGAAGAACCAGCAAGAAACCCAGCGGTACTTTTTGAAAAAAATTTTGCAATATGTATGGTTAAAAATATTTACAAAATTTATTTTAAAAACAACTTAGAAGCCACCACCTCATTCCCAGGGGTTACTATCAACCATGTAATTCATTCATAATTTTATATTATAATAACCCTTTATATAGATTTTTTGTTTAATTAAATATTTAAACTTAGTAATAGAGAGACCTTGTATATTTTCTGGGACTTTGCTGTAATAGCGTATACATTGCCCGAAGAATGAATTACTGACTCTGTGGAGTCGAGAAACTGGTATCACTAGCTTGTGTTTGTTCCTAGTGTTTACAGAGTTTATATCATTTGTTTTACTAAAACTACCTTTGTTTTTGTAAACATTAAATTTTTGTAAATATACTGAGATGCCAAAGTTAATATATTTATTACTTTAAATTTTTCCCTAAGAGACACTTTAGATCTTATAAACTACGCAATGGATTTCGATGCGGTTTTGAATGATTCAGGAGGAAGGCTGATATGCATAATACATGTATATTATAACATTGCACTCGTGCGAAGTCGGTGCGGGTCACTAGTGTTAGAAATAAAATCCCCAGACCGAAGACGGAAAACAGTATCAATTGTGCGAGACGCAGTGTACTGCGATAGCTAAGCCTGTTTGGTATTGGAGAGATCCGCGTCCAGCGATGAATTCTATTCCAGTTAATGATCTCTTATTATTTATCATCAGATGAGAACTATACCAATAAAATCTAATTTCTTCCCACTTAAGGTAGTCACGCCTTGACAGGGATACAATGACTACACTTCGGGCTGTGTAGTCGTTGCAAGGATGGGTTGTCTGTAACTATGTCTAGAAAGATGATGACACATCGAAAATGAACGTTTAAAATGGCTCCGGGCTATCGCCGTACTGATCCGAGTGAATACACAATTTCTAAAAAACTAAAAAAAAAACGCTGTCTTAAGGCGATACCGTGAAAAAATGCACCTCCTTTCATCTAATAGTATAGGACTACACCACTAACGAAATTGGGATTTTGACATAGGTAAATTTGTGTCTTTATCTTGAATTTGATTGCTCAAAAACACGATTGTATAATTTTAACTCGATCATAATTATTTGCGAAAACACCTCTAAAAAATCACTATAGTTTAAATTACAACGAAATCATTTGATCTATTAGCTTGGAAATTACTCAAATATATTCATAACATCAATATTCACAATTTACTTGCTCATTATTTTGATAACTTAAATCAATAATTTTTTAAAAAATATTTTAAGATTCTGACAATTTCTAAGCACTTGTAATCGTCGCGGGCGCCACGCTATTTTAGACCTTATGACGGCGTTTCTTCAAGTTTTTATAGAAATTATGTATTCACTCGGATCAGTACGGCGATAGCGTTTTCGATGTGTCGTCTAAAGGTCTAAAATTGCGTAGCGCCCGCGACGATTAAGACCGCTTAGAAATAGTCAAAACCTTAAAATATTTAAAAAAATATATTAATTTAAGTCATCAAAATAATGAGCAAGTAAGTTATGAATATTGATTTTATGAATATATTTGAGTGATTCCCAAGTATATAGACTAAGTAATTTCGTAATAATTTCAACTATACTGATTTTTAGAGATGTTTTCGCAAATAATTATGATCGAGTCAAAATTACACAATCGTGTTTTTAACATGCAAATTCAAGATAAAGACATGAATTTACCTAAACTAAAATTCCAAATTCGTTAGTGGTGTCATACTTCTATACTATTCGAAGAAAGGAGGTACATTTTTTCGCGGTGTCGCCTTAACCCGTAAATAATCAATGGCTGTGGAATTATGTCGATCTCTAAGTTTTCTGAAAACGAAAACATAATTTTTATAATTTATTTTATTTTGATAAACTGTACAAATTATTCCAATAAGTCTTAACTTAAAAATAGTCTACAATCACAGGCACCTGAACTAGGATAAACCTGTATCTCAGGTGCATGTGCTTAAAGATACATTAACAAATATTTTCTGTTTCTTATATAAAATGAATAACGTACTAACTAATAAGGGTTATTTGGGTAAAATATATCATCATTGATTTACTTATGATATTAATTAACTTAAAACAATCAGCAACTTCTCCGTATCATCGTATGACAAATTTTGTAACCATGTTCGAATTACCTTTTTACAGTCTGTCATTTTTAATGGATATATGTACAAAATTGCATTGACTTGATTATACAAAAAAGGGCCGAGGAATGTAAAAAATCTATGGATGAAATAATGCCTTATTCTAATGTTAGTTTTAATTACTATATCTTTGCGTCTTTTATCAGTGACCTCTCTTCTGTAGGGCAATTTTAAGTGCTGTTTTAGTAACGTACTCATAACGAATAACTGGCGCACTGAGAGGACATTATAGGATTTGTATAAGAGATGGGATGGAAATAGAATAGGGCGAATAAACAAAAAAGAAATTAGTAATCTAAATAATATATCACTATAATATATAATTTTGAATATTATGTAAGAATAAATTAAAAAATATTATGTAAGAGCTATAAAAATAGCAATGTACCTAATTCATAATAGCGAAGTCAAAACTTATTCTTTCGTAATTTTTTACACATGTCGGTATTTTGAATGTTACGTCACGTTTGTGAAAGAATGTTATATAATATTTTGAGATCATTTAGTTTAGTAATTTAAATAGCAAAATATCATTATGTAGCCGCAGTAGCTCAGGACTTAAGCAATCGTCGTATATTTCATACTACGCCAGCACTTTTTATTTTGTTTGACTGTCACGTTGATCTAGTGGTCGCAAATTCAATTGCTGACTACGAGGTCAGCAATCGCATTTGCGACCACTAGATTTCTCAGTAGTTCACTTGTAGTCAAGATATTGGCGGTGTTTCACCTCCGTGCCTCGTAAAGCACGTAAAGCCGTTCCTCCTGAACCTGATTTCTTTCCGGTCGTATCGGACTATGAGCGTAAGGGAATAGAGAGTACACCTGTGTCTGCGCATATACTCGTGTAACTCTATCTGCGCACATGTTCATGCACTAGAACCTCCTCCTGCGCAGATGGCTAATATCTATTTAGACTGGCCGCCGCGACCGAGATTCGGTCTGAAGGACACTATTATTGGTACGCAAACAAACTGAGTTCGATCGACGCCGGCGGCATTAAAATTGCTATTTGCAATTTTAAATGTTTATTTGCTACTTGGTCAGGGAAAAGATAAACTTAGTAAGTAAACGTTAAATGTACGATAATATATTTTGAAGACATGGAAAGTCTGCCTTTGCTTACTGGAGCAGCGATGTGAACAGTGTCATAACCTTCTCCTTAAATGAAAATATGCCTATGTTAAGGTGTGAAACCTATTGGTGTTATAAATTTAACTAAGTTTTAAAGATTGTAATAGAGTTATTATATTATAACAGTGGTAGAGCCACGCTGTAGCTATTATTTTTTTAACATGAATGGGTCGGCTCGACCGGGGAAGGACCACGCTCTCACACAATACCAGCGTAAAATAGCAGCTTGATGCTGCTGTGTTTCGTATGCTGAGAGTAGAGATCCGGAGACCCGTTTTACTGGAATCGAGGCATTCCATCATAGTCCTCAAAGATATTAACGCATCTGCATTTTGATTCTTAATTGAAGTTAAATGTTGATGTCTATGGGCCACAGCATCCATGTACTATCAGGTAGAACTATGTACTCATTTGTCACCTTTATCGATACTACGAAAATATAAATAATATTTTAGTACCCATGTAACCAAGAGCTACTCATTTTTAAAATGCCGTTAAGACTCTATCACTTAAAGAGTCCATATAATGTCGTTTTGGTGATATTGAGCGATCTGGATCTCGGTATTTATAAGACCTAAAAGTTTGCTACTTGGACACATTAAAATTAGACATATAATCTTCAAATGTATTAAAGCGAAAACAAGATTTCGAAAAAAAAATCTCGGTTAAAAAAAGAAGAAAAAACTTCGTTTTGCACTTTCGAGTTAGATCTCCGAAACCGTATGGAATTGAATGATGATTTTTAACGTAATAGATAGATAATAATATTATCTCAAATCGTGACGATCAATTTTTTTATTTTTCTACGTGGCGTGGTCTTTTCGTAATTAGCAATTACGTGATTTGGCACTTGCGATTTTTTATTCTAAGCGAGCACACTCTCTTTCCGTCTCTGGTTTTACACGCGGTAGTAACAGCGCTATCCTTTCCACCAGCTTCAGACATTCACGAAAAGTGACAAGATTATCCTATGAATGATAGTTGTTGCGCCTGTTACGCACGATTCCGATATACAAGAAACGTTTCGTTTTCCGTAACGATCCAGTTTATTACATACAAGGTGCATGTAAAAATAGTTTATATTACAAACTATTCATGCAGCAACTTAGGATGATACAAAAAGAAAGGTATTTTGTTTATAAAAAAAAATTTTCACTTCATTTCCTGTAAAAATGTTTTTTTTTTATAGAAAAAGGGTGACAAAGGAACACACAGTCCACCTGATAGTAAGTAAATACTGTGACCCACGGACATTTACATTTAACCTCAATTAAGAATCAAAATGCAGATGCGTTGTCACCTCTGAGGACCAAGATGGAATGCCTCGATCTACTCTACACTTATCAAACGAAACAGAGCAGCATTGACCTCCTATTTTACGCTGATATTCTGTGAGAGCGTGGTCCTACCCCGGTTGAGCCGACCCAGTCGTGCCACAACCACAATACAGCTGCAGCGTGGTGGCTCTACCACGTGAAAATACGAATTCCTAAAAGAATACAAAGCGTTTTCAAATATAGACATCTGGAACTAGTGATCGTGTAACTTATGTATATATATTGACTTAATGGTATCGATTTTTAAATAAGGATTCAATAGGTAGAGCTGAAGTCAAGTTATTTACATATTTAGATACCAAAATAACTTAGGTATATTCACAATATATTTTGGTTTAAAGTGTAAAAAAATCAAAAAGAATAGTAGGTTAAGTTATTTATTTTTATATTCACATTGCATAAACTTTGAGGAATGAACGCGGATACTAAAAACGGTGTAAATGCAAATTGAACTCGGAGTGAAGTTCACTTAGACAACCGACTAGTAGATTTAAAGAATATCAAATAGCAAAAAGCGGGCCAACTATTCAGGATTTTGTGGTACAGTCCCTCAATAACAGTACCGCATTGGAAAAATATTAATAATAATCCGTAAAGGTTAAGTAAAAACGTCTAGTTATTTTTGAATTGTTGTTATCTAAAAAAAATGAAACTTAAAATTGAAACTAAAAATATTGTATACATAATTTTATACCACAATTAAGACAAATAGCATATTCCTGAACTCTTAGCGAATTCGGTGGCAAACTCTAAAAGTTATAAGTTTTCTACTCGATGTATTAGTATTTTTATTATTATTGTAATCATTTCAAACCTGCAATTTAGACTATTATACGAGTATAAACACACGATCTAATTGTTGTAATCGACAAAGAGCGTTCGCAATAGTTATATCTACAAAAAAAAATCTTCAAAGCTGCTAATGAGGTTGAAGTTATCAAGGCTTGAAGTATAACAATTATTAAACAACGCCCTGAAATAATTAAACGAAGTAATAACCGGGAAATCTCGTATCCTTTATCAAGATTAATAATGTTTGTAAATATTTTTTGCAGATGCGGTTACTATTGGGCGTTTTACTTACTATTGTAGCAACTGCAGCTTATGAAAGGAATACGCAGAGAAAAACTTTGGGCACTTTATACAGATGGAAACAGATCGATTTTAAATATCCCACTAATGAGGAACGTCTGGCGGCGATTGCTACCGGGTAGTTTTTATTTTACAATTGGTAGATATTAAAATAATCAAATAACTATCGTAATCACCTGGTAGTTGGTAAAATATAATGGTATAGTTATTCAATTTCACGATGAAGGTTTCGACTTGATTGTGGTAGTGACGTGTACCGATGGGTGATTTTGTGTGTGTAACTGCGATTCATTCGACTCGCGATCGTGACTGAGCACTCCCGAGGCCTACGCACGCATATGTGCACGGCTAACAACAATTAATTTCTTCACCATCGTTAACTTTAAGCGAACTAAGTCCACTAGTCTGACCAATCCTATACCTACCGAAGTCATAAATCAATCTTAAGACGCTACCCTGACCAAAACCTGGCAAAAGTGCGTTTTTCAGACTCTATTATCTCATTAGTTATGAAAAATAAACTACATCTAAAAGTACATTATTAATGTTCGATATCTTATCATCGCATTCCACGTTCTAATTTATTTTTATGTGCTATAAATACATTTAAAATCAACTTTTAAAAAATGACTAAAATTCTTGATTACATGCATCTGTTGCTAAACGCAACGCTCTAATCATTTGAGGATAACACTAATGGATAGATAATGAAAAAATCTATATTCTCCACGTTTTATTTAAATTTTTAAGTTCGTTTTTTCTCTTTTAATTGAAATAATTCCGAAAATTGTGTGACTTCTATGATAAAGGGGCGTGCGCAGAGTGCGGGCGGCATTACGCTGTATGCGTTCATACGGGGTAGCCGCGTCGCTGGTCGCCGCGTTTTGTATTTCGCCGCAAACATAATATTATTTGAGTACCTACCAACCGATGCGCTTACGTCACGGTATATTGTAACTCGGCCGTATCTTAGAAATAAATCTTACAGCCGTACGGTACGTAAACATGCGATAGGGCTGCTGCTTCCAGTATTTTTACATTTGCCCATTGATTTATGTGTTTTATAACTCAATGCATTTTCCTACTTTGTGTTTCCATTTAGTTTTATGATTGTACTTAAATATACTTTTTTTATATAAACAAATATAATAGGTACTTTGTGAATTGAATAGGAAGTGTTCAATAAAAATGCGTGTCGTTTTATGATTGGTAGATTTAATTAAAAAACCATGTTTATGTTTGAATAACAAATCGGTCTTATAAATTTGCGGCCGAAAAATATTTGTGCCTCGGCTGAGACGTACGAAATGCTTTATTATTAAAATTTTAAATATAAAAAATCCGCATTATAATATAAAGCTTAATTAAAAATTGTTTTGGGAAACATGGACAAGTTGGAGTAAAGGAATATCTTTTTACTTGGTTATAGATACCTGCAGCTATTTTACAATTTATATGTTTGGTTTTAAATGAAGTTTGGATTTATTATTTTTTATTTCTATTCTATTTTCTGAAAGGGTCCTAGGAAAGGAATTATCCACCGCGCTGCCCCACTGCGTGTTGGCGAACTTTGCATGTCTTCGAAATATTATTTTTCTTATTTCTCAGACATGCAGGTTTCCCTCACAATGTTTTCCTTCACCACTGAGCACGTGGTAAATCAACACTTAAAATTGCAATTACAATATTATTGGTGCCGGCGGGGATCGAACCCGGTTTGCTCGCACACTGTGAAAATTTTAGCAAGCGCTAACCATCTGAGCTACCACGGCTCCTCTCCTCTCGAGCTAGAGACTTTATTTTATTTATCGTCAGGCCTGTTGGTCTAGTGGTTAGTGACCCTGACTGCTATGCCGTAGGTCGTGGGTTCGATTCCCACCCAGGACAAATGTTTGTGTGATGATTTATCTATAATATTTATGTATTTAGAAATATATAAGTATGTTTATCAGTTGTCTATATACATAAATACAAAAATAAAATAAATACAAAAAATATACAAATAAATAAAGATCCAACCATATTAAATAAAAAATAGTCTCCTATCTTTCTCTCTATGTTTTGATCTCCTAAAACGAGTTTGAGTTGGTAAAATCAAGGCAAACTTAGGGTAAGGTTTGGAAATTCCGCGGTTTTATATGCGCAAGCGTGAACGTAGTTAGAACATAATATAACCTTTATATTTTACATAAATATCCTAAAAAACTTATTATTTTAATATTTTACTAAGTACCTATAAAATTAACAAGTTTATTGCATTTTTATTTGAGTAATTTTTTATGCAATTTCTTTATCTACGTCTATTTTTAGGAACCTTTATTTAGTCTGAATCATACATAACACTATATTACTGATTTACTTACTTATACGTAGTTTTTTTTTGCAGTTACAAATATCTTGTGAGGTTGAAAAAGGTAGTAATGAAAAAATAATAAGAATAATAATAATTGACGTCAACAACCACTTTTCATATCATGGTCCATTAGGTTGCAGCTTCACCGAACCACAACTTATAATAATAATAATAACAATAATAATATAATATTATTTTGTATTTATTTTATTTTATTGATATTAATGTATATTTATCTTTTCATTTTAATTTATAATTTTTATATATTTAAATATTTATATAACCGAACCAGATGAGAAAATTATACGGCTCCAACGATTTTAGCGACGAACGCTTGGATTTATTTTTAGAAAATGTCCTTTTGTCTATGTTTTCAGGCAATAAAAAACTGCTACAATATAAGAAGGTAAATTTCGACTAATCGTTAACGGTCGTTATAGCTCAGGTGGTATGTCGGTCGGGCGTGATATCGGAGTTCCGTGGTTCGCGTCTTGGCTTTGGTCCCGCTTTTTTTTCCTTTTTTTCAAGTTCCCTTCTTTTGTGAGAAAATTTATTATTTCAAACCCTTTTTTTTAGTAATTTTTTAAAATACGAAAATTTTAATTTTAAAAATTAAAAAAAAATATCTATTTAGTTACTAATGCTATATTTATTATTTTAATAATCACCTACCCAGTAGGTAAATATTAAAATAATAAATGTAGCATTATAAACAGTAAATCTCCCTCAAACTCAATTTACTAATATTGCTCCTAAATAAGGAATAGCAAATAAAAGATTAGTAGGTAATAACTATTGCTCCTCAAAATTATATTTGACCTCAAGGTAAAACATATCCTAAAATTCAGTAGCTAAATAAAATAATAATAACTACTATTCAAGTATATTTTCAATATGTAAGTAAATGAAAATAACAAAAATGAAGCACCATTAGCATGTAAAGTTCGAATCCATAATTAATATTTCGACAAATATTATAATTTACACTATAAAAAGCTAATTCAATATTATCAGTATAGTATATAGTTAAAAATAATCAAAATAGTCATTTTTATTAATTAGATAATATATTAGAATACATAATTCTAATATAATGCAACTAATATACCGAATAAAGAAAATTAAAATACATTTATCATTGTACGCCATGTCTATTTCCATAGAAGAGTTCATTGACATTGAAAAAAATAATACTACGTTCGTAGCAGTAGGTGGCGTCTTTTGGCCATTTCTTACGCGATATATTGTAGCGAGCGTCGACAGACCAAATGCTCAAGGTCGTTCGCTGGAGGTAGCGCCTTAAGAGGTTAGAGTAAGTCAGCTCAAATTCTAATTTCGCCCCCACTTCCCCGCGCGTCGTAATCTATGTACCGAAATATTTGTAATCACTAATACTGTAAGTAGAAAGGTCGTTAGACACTTATTTCATTAGGTTTATCATATTTATGCCTGTTTCTTAAAGCCAAGCCAGCCGATTCTTATTTTTGTCACGGTTATTTCCCATTTTAATTTTACGTCGTACTGTTGCGTAATGTATATTCTGATCGTAAGCGACACAACTTCTCCCTTCAAAAGCCTAAGCGATACTAACGGGGCGACATGTATCAAGCTCAAGATGCCGATAGTTAGGTAATTTCTTTTTACAGTGAAAATAATGGTATTTTAAAAAAAGTAAATAACATAAGCACTGCTTTATAGTTAGTTCAGTTAGTATGCAAAGTTTCATGATCTTATTTAAAGTATTTTATGAATAACAGCGGTTTATTGTTTATTTTGGAGGTAACTTTGGATTTTTTTTCTATCGAGAAAATTTTACGAAATCGTGTTTTCGTCTAACATAATCACTAACATTAATCCTCAACTTTACCATATATTTATTTCAAAATTAATGCTGCAATATTTTCGGCATAACGAAGGATCTTGCTAAGCCATTTGACATTATATTTCCCCTTAAACACTCACGCCTGGCACCCAGAAGATAAGGCAGAGACTACGTATTTCCATTTGGCATGATGCTGACACAGCTCTCCTACCTCCTTTACATCCATATACCTACGCATATATGCTCGTCGGTTAAGGGTACTATTTATATTGTATTGTAGTGTATTTTTTGTGTAATTAATCACCAACTTAGTCGGTAAACTCTCGTCTGGGGCGTTCCTTTCCGACTCTCTCTCTCTCTCTCTTTTTGACACATTCTGACTTTCCACAATAGAGTGTAGAGCTCCACACTCCATTTCCTACATTGACTCGTAGCTCTACATCCTTCCATCTTTGCTAATTACACATCCCAAATACATGAACTCATCCATTTGATCAACTAACTCCCCTTCTATTCTTATTTCACATAACGTTTTACTTTCTTCTCTTTCAAAAACCATCACTTCCGTCTTTTCGACTTTCATTCCCCTTTATTTTAATGACATAAATCAATTTGTTCTATATTACGGTAATGTCGTAAAACAATCCGACGCAATATGTGGGGGAGGCCGGTTTTCAACAGTGGACTGTTGTAGACTGTTGGATGGATGAAAAGGAGAAACTGTCATCTCATTGCGCTTGGTGTCTTGCTTTTTCTTATTAATTCTAAAACTTTTTTTGTCGATGATTAAATGATAACCCATTTAAATTCGGTCTGGAGGACATTATTATTATTATTATGGCAGTAGCACGAATAGATCGCCTTGATCGGGTTAGGACCACGCTCTCACAGAATTATAGTGTTTCGTATGGTGAGTGTAGAGAACCAGAAACCCTTTTGACTGGAAACAAGGCATTCCATCTTCGTCCTCAAGGGTGACAACGCATCTGCATTTTTGATTCATAATCGAGGATAAATGTAGATCTCTATGGGCCACAGCATCCACTTACCATCAGGTTGACTTTGTGCTCGTTTGTCACCCTGTTCTATTTTTTTTAATCCAGACTTCAGTGCGAAGGTAAGTGAGTAAAAAGCTACTGCTGAAACTTTTCTTGAGTGATACATTATCCTATGTAACAGGCGAAGGAGGGCTGAAGGACAATATTTAAATAAGGAAAACATGTCTTTCCTCAGGATACCATTTGGCAACCCTACGCTCAAATCACGATCAGCGCCTTATGCATTAGCAAGAGAGTAAACGGTTGTCGACGTGTGCTCGAATTTAACTGTAAAACTACTCTATTGATATTGATATAAAATTAATATATGTTACTAGCTGAACCCGGCAGACGTCCTGCCAGTTAATATCATAAGCTGTAGCAAAGTCTTTTTTTATTTTAGCTCATGGAATTTTATTTATTATTTCTTTTAAAAAAGCAAATAAAATCTAAAATTTTAAAATTGTTAGTTTCAAATTTTTTTCAATTTCTTTTAGTTTATAAATATAAACATTATCCATTAAAATACACATATACATACCAAGAATAGAGATTTTGATTTAAACGATTTATATATAAAAATCAACATCGTCTTTTATATGTATAGATTATAGAATAGTTTTAGTTTCTGTGTATTATAGCTCTATTGTATTCTGGTAGATAAAGTCGTGAACATGACTAGTACCAGAGCCCCATAAAGTCTTACCAGAATTTCGTAAAAAAATTAAAGATTTATGCATACTTCTTATAAAATTTAAGCTGTGAAAGCTTTTAAGACGTTCTGAACTTAGTACCTAAATTTAGCCTGGAGCTACTTTATGCAATAACGAAATGGTCATACAACTTTAATAAAATACAATTTATATTTTAGCAAAATATACTATTGTATTTAAAATTTAATAATTTAAAATTAGGTAAAAAAACTCATCCAAGCAAGTATCTCAACCAAGTAACGCATTGGTTTTTTTTTATTTGTAATATAATAGATATCGTGTATTTGTTTACAGGCTCTTCAATCAGACTAATGTGATACCTCTTGGTATCGAAAGATGGAAGGGAAGAATCTTTGTTAGTACTCCAAAATGGAAAAGAGGCGTACCAGCAACATTATCAGCGTTACCAACGGCAGCGGTGGAGGAATCGCCGCCGCTTGAACCTTATCCCAACTGGCAATGGCATAACGCAGGTAAATTATAATGACATCTACATTACAATCAATAGATGTCCCTACTGGATAATTATGTGCCGTAATCTTTGTATTAGAGTCGCTTTGTAGTATCAAATATTACGCAATTTTCACGCTGCACACAGTCGCTGGTCTGGCGTAAACAGAGCGGTTATATTGACATCTAACGGAAGTTATAAGATACTTGTGACATTTCCTTAGTCTTCCAACTAGTCTTAAAACACCCACGAATCTAAATTAATTGGATTCAGATGCAAATTTGATAAAGTTTGTTTGAATAAGGTACATTACTTTATGATATTACCCACTTTTAAGCAAACTTCACCGCTCTTTCTCAGACAGTGATTAAATGTCTCAAAAATTTAAGCTTAGAATTTCGATAAAGACACTACATAATATATGATCATAAATTAAAGAGTTATAGCGTAAAAGTACTGGAAAGTTGAAGTATGTCCTAATTAATCTTTAGCTTACAATCATTTTGTTTTCAGGTAACTGTACAGGGCTCACATCAGTATTTCGCATGAGTGTAGATCACTGCGGTATTATGTGGGTGTTGGATTCAGGGCAGGTTGAGGCCTTTGAAACACCGCGACAACTCTGCCCACCGTCATTAGTCGCAATTGACTTAGAAACTGATACTGTTCTGGCAAGATATCCAATACCAGAGGAATTCGTTCTTCAGAATTCATTGATTACCAATATCGTAGTAGATTCAAGAGACGCACGGTGTAGAGACCTCCACGTATATATTGCTGATGCCTGGCGGTTTGGACTCATTGTATTTAGACAATCCGATGCAATGTTTTGGAGATTCAGTCACTACACATTCTACCCAGAGCCTTTGCTTTCTAATTATACGTTGCATGGATTAAATTATCAATGGTCAGATGGATTGTTCGGTATGTCCTTAGGCAAGTTTCACCTTGGCGAACGACCTCTGTATTATCATGCTATGTCCAGTTCTTTAGAGTTTGTTGTAAATACATCTGTAATACGAGATCCTACTCGTGTTAATGACGCTGTGGCCGAGTTTAAACTTCTCGGTGACAGCCGAGGGCCTTACGGCCAGGTGTCTGCAGCGGCAATCGACCGCAACGGTGTTATGTTCTACAATCTAATTTCCTACGACAGTATCGGATGTTGGAACACGTGTACCGATTATAGAGATAAAAATCGTGACATTGTGGCACAAAACTCTAGAACGTTGGTCTTCCCTAATGATTTACGAATAGATCATGAAGTACCGCAGTTTGTATGGATTATATCAAACAGACTACCGATGTATCAATTTAATTTAATAGATCCGAATGAATACAACTATCGTGTTCTATATTTAGATCCTGTTAAAGCCGTTGAAAATACAGTTTGTCAATATACATGTTAAGGAAATTAAATGCCGAACTCAAGATTTTAAAATAAAAATTTACATTAATTGTTGTATTATTGTAACTCTTCTTTTTTTTATTGACCCTAAAAGTCTACAGCTGATAGTGGAACTCTCATATTGTCACGCTATGCATGTATTTACATATGAAGATGGCAGTTTTAGGCGTCTCACACTTATGACACCGCTGAATGTCGTTTGTCTGGTTTTATATTACGTTTAAAACGTAAACGATACGATTACACTGCCATCTATCGAACACCATACGATTTATGTGGAATTTACTAACTAAAAGTCAATAAATGATTAAAATCTATTTATTTTAAAAAATTACAAAAAGGTAAAACCAAAATGTACTTTTCATTTAAAACTTGCACTTGATGATGATTTTGAAGTAGACTGACTTTGAGATGTATTCCTTAGCTCTACATTAGGTTCAGTTCTATTCTCAGACTTTGGCACAGAATTAGATGACAATCGACTTATTATTTCATAGATAATGTCCTGAAAGCTTACGTTTGATTCTGGTGTCATCGTGATATTAAATTCTAGCTTTTCGTTATTTTTTTCTTGGTTTTTATGCCCGCTTGAATCCGTTTGTAAAATGTTTGAATTATTCTGTGAAACATAACTAGATTCGCCGCTACCTTTAATGTTGTTAATTTCATTGAAAGAACTTTTTTCACGACTTAAAACAGTTTCATCGTATGAATGGAAAAAGCTATCTCTGTTATCAGTATTTTTATTCTCAGTTTCTTTATCCTCAAATTCATTCGACTCAGATTTTCGTTGTAAAATGTCAGAAGCTTTTTTCATAAAGATTTGCGGATAATCTGTTAAATAAGAAGCTAATTTTCCTTTACTACTTCCAACTAATGGAGGTGGATCTGTGTTTTCACTTGACAAAGCATTGCAATCTAAATTCATTAAGTTTCTTTCTGCCTTCGTTGATAAAGAATCAAAAAATTTAGAAGAATCTGTCCCTTCCTTTTTCAAATATGCAACTATTCCTAGTGACATCGTTACAAACTGTTCAAGTATGCGATCTGTATCACGCGGTATTACCAATTCGTTGTTTATCCACTCTTCAAAGGTGCCAGTATCTGACATAGTTCTGTTGGATGTGACCGACATAGGTCGCAAAACATCCGCTTCATTCTTTATATCTGCAACGCTATTGTCAGAAGGAACAACGTAGGCTGTTTCATCAAATTTAAGACGCGTTGGTACATGAGGCTTGATTATGGATTGTCTTTCCGCATATCTGGAAAGAAATTCTTAATAGATAATTAATACAGTTGCATATTTTATATGTATTTTTATCACTCAGTAAAAGTATCGCCAGTACGCAGTGATCTCAAAAATACATAAATTATTGGTTTTGAAATCTGAATATACCAAGGCTATCTTTGTGTTTTATTTTACCTTACCAATTATATCTTATATGAATAAAAAATAATATATATACTTTATTGTACACCACAAACAAATTTACAAAGAACATAACAGATAGCAGATTATATGTACAATTTGGCGGCCTTATCGCTACATAGCGATCTCTTTCAGGCAACCAAAGTTTTAAAGGAATAAAACAGTGAATACTAGGTAGGTGGTGCAATATAAATATACCTAATATAATATCAATACATGCAATAAAATAACATATAAATAACTAATACATTAAAAATATGATACACATATACATACATATACATAAACATACACACACACACATATATATATATATATATATATAATGATGATCGAACGATTGAGACAAGTAATGCTCTTTAAGAAGTCGCTTAAAGACTACAATAGTTTGTGCTTCGCGTATATACAACGGTAGGGCATTCCAGAGCTTAATAGACTAGACAGGGAAAGATTTATTAAAGAAAGATGTATTGTGAGTTGGTACCCTTAAAATGAGTTTTCTTGAAGAGCGTAGAGGTTCCCCTGGAAGCCCAACAAAACTAAACTTCTCCTTTAGATAAGGAGGAGTAGAAGGGTGAAATAAGACATAGTACAGAATAGAAAGTGACTTGAGATGTGAGAGAAATTGGGAAATATGATCTAATTTGCGCAATCCAAATATGAACCGAATACTAGTATTTTGAAGTCTCTCAAGCTTAGTTAGCTGGTCTTTAGTTATGTCTACATAGCTTGCGTCAGCATAGTCGAGAATCGGAAGGAGAAGAGACTGTGCGAGCATAATTTTTGTAGGAATGGGAAGAAATGGTCGAAGGCGACGCAGTGAACTAAGAGCGACAAAAGTTTTCTTACTTACCTCATTCATTTGGCGTTTCCAATTTAAGGAACTATCAAGGTAAACACCAAGATTTTTGACATTGTCAAAGTAAGGGGTTACAACCCCATCGAATACAACAGGTGGCATGGAGAACCAGTCAATTCTTGAGATAAAGGTCTGCCTACCAAAACTGATAGCCTGTGACTTTTTAGGATTGACATTTAGGCCATATGATTGACTCCACTCATGAATCATATTTCATTCATTCATCAGAAATTGTAACAGTTTCTATTATTTTTAACCTAAACGTTTAATAGAATCACGCGTTTGCGGAAATCCGATATATTAAAGTTGTAAGAACTTAATTTGCTTATTTCCGCTGAATAAAATAAAATGATGTGTCTACCCTAGTTTGAAAAGCAATCACCCTCCCTCAATTGTGGAAAGATACACCCTCCTTTTCGAGTACCCTTGAATCACACCGAGCACCCCTCTAGCTCGAGGAGCCTCACTACAAAAGCAGGAGCCGTGGTGCCTCGGGACTGAATACAATCATAAGAATACACTCAATAGATTCGTTGCACTTAATAGCTCCTAAGTCCTAGCTTACTAGTCTCTTTCGATGATGCTGTAATGCCCCGTTACCAACAAACACTTTCCGAAAAAAAAAATAGTTTCTGATTTCTTATACTCTTTAAACCGAAACAATACATGTGGTATCTAATACTAATAAAGTAATGATTTGCGAAATAGGTTATTCCGTTTATCCACCCAGACGGGGTAAATAATCGGAATTCGTATATTATTTTTCTTCCGATTTTACTTCTCGGCTGTGTACAGTCGTTTATAAAAACATGATAGAAACTGGCCCAAGATAGAAATTAGTATACCTACTTATAAAAATACATACATACTTCTTGTTTAAAAGTCAATACTGAAATATTTTTGATTGTTTAATTAAATTACATATCATGCGATGTGACATAATTTACGTAGTTTCGGAGATATCTTATGATGAAAAAAATGTTTTACTGCAATTAATTTCAATTACATTTTATTGACGTAGACGTTTAAATTAAATAAAAATATTGTTAATTATTTTTTTTTAATTTACACAGTATTGGAAATAGTACGGTACTTAAATGTTTTTAATTGAGAGACGAATTTATATAAGATCAAAGTAGTGATTATATTTTCTTTGTACAGGATATACAATTACGTCATTACGTCTACTCAATAATGAAATTAGTATTGGTCATTTCCTGTACATGTTGCAGAATTTATATATTACTTATTATTATTTAAAACAAAGTAGTTTAATTTGGTTTATATGCAAGACGTAACGTGATTTCTGTTTAAGTTTGTGGTTATTAAAAATTAATCAACATTATGTTAAAGTATGAATATATTTTCTGTTGAACTTTACCTGGGGTGGAAAGGCGGAATAACAATCAAATGGTGAATTCCGATTATCCACCTCGTGTAGGGTGAATAAACGAACAAGCATGGTCTTGGTGGATAAAGAACAGTTGGGTGGTGAAAGTTTCGGTTCGAATATCCTATTATTTATCCTATATATTATAACACTACGAAATTCCTACTATTTCGCACTATGACACCACAAATGAACGTACTAGTAAGTCCTATTGTAAATAAATAAATACTACAACGATTTGCGTAGATATTTTTGCGTAACTCACAGGCCTGCTATAATCTTGCGACGCAACTGATCTTCGCCAAATAAAGATTTAGTCCGTCGCCTACGAACAGCTAATTCGAGTCCAAAATCCCGATCACTTGGAGGTACAACCGCCGGGAATGTCTTGAAAACTGCGGCTATCTTCAGATTGTAGTAATAGCTGTGCGTTGTTAATGGAAAAAAAATTTTATAGGATAGGGTGACAAACGAGCACACATTCCACCTGATGGTAAGTGGATGCTGTGGCCCACAGACATCTACATCTATCCTCGATTACGAATTAAAATGCAAATGCGTTGTCACCCGTGAGGACTAAGATGGAATGCCTCGTTTCCAGTAAAAAGGGTCTCCGATTCTCTACACTCACCATACGAAACACAGCAGCATTTAAGCTACTACTTTACGCTGGTGTTCTGTGAGAGCGTGGTCCTTCCCCGGTCGAGCCGACCCAATCATGCTACAACTATAATATAGCTGCAGCATGGGTCTACTCACCGTCTACCACGAATTTAATTAATACCTTTAAAGTGTGGTAATATGTTTTAATGTTATTTTATATAAAAATCTACTTATTCATTTTACCGCTACAGCCTATTGAAGTCCACTGCTGAATTTAGACCTCACCCATAGATTGCCTCACAGTTGCCACGCTTGGCATACGGGTTGGCAACCGCAGTTTTTTTTTTATTTGTTATTAAGAACACGCTGCTGGCCATCTACTGATGGGTTTCCTTCTGTCATCTCTTACGACACCCCATGGAGTTATAGTGAATAATCTTAAGGACGACACACACGGTCAGTTCAACTGATCATTCCAACTGATCAGTTTAAACTCGGTCTGTAGATTTTTTGTAAAATATCGGATTTTCGGTATATCGATAAATAAACTTATACATAAAACTCCGATATTGATATACTTATTTATAATTATCGATATATCGAAAATCGGATATTTTAAAAAATATCAACAGTCCTAGTATGAACTGATCAGTTGGAATGATCAGTTGAACTGACCGTGTGTGTCGTCCATAACACCGCCATTACACTATTCTTAAAAATCATTCATGTACGGGTGTGTAATTATAATTTTAGATTTTTCTAAATTTTCTCTTTTTTAATCAAATAGATTGGAGTACAAATTTTAATGCAAGTATCCTGAAATATAAATTTTACGGAATTCTCATAAATTTCTAAGAATAATCTCAGCTGTTATACTCGTTCACTGACCTCTATATATGCACATTACACATAATAGAGGCCAGTGTACTCGTCGTTTTTGGCACGAAACGCTAAAAGCATGAAGGTTTACTTTTAATTATGTTCTACTACTAAAAGCAAGGTTTACTTTTAATATAGTCCTTTCTATTTATGTTAAATACAGCCGGGCAGGGCAGAACATAATTTTCGGAAACATATCACAATTCATTTGGAGATCTTTAATTTATATGAAGACCATCTGCACTCTCTACTTTGGTGGGACAACATTACATATGATAATAATTAACATCAACTTTTCTTTACATATCTCACCTTAAAACAATTAACCACATATAGAATGCTGGTGTGATGGAGATGATCTTGGTAATAAGAAATCTGACGCATGGGGGCCTTGCGGGTCCCAATAGCACGCAAGTACCAAGCCCTAGGGCCAGGCTTGTTAGCTCACACAAAAATTTTCTTACCGCAGCCAGCAACAGCCAAGGGAGCACTAGAGTGGGACGTTCCTCCTGTTCGAAAACATTAGATACTTCCAATTATCTATTTTTTCCACGTTTTTATGACTCGCTTACTTCTCAAGCTAACTTCCTGATAAGCAAAAGACTTGAAACTTCAAATATAGCTCAGAGCTGGATGACAATGCAAAATGAACTTACTTTTTTATCTACCTGTTAGTTTGTTTGTAGTTGTTTGTGAGACAATGTAAAAGAAACTCAAAATGTTTTGATTTATAAAGATTTAAAAAAAAAGAATATTAACAATGCTACAAACATTACTAATATTCCCCTTTCACCACTCGTGGTAAGCTTAAATTGCTTGTGTTACGAGTGGTTCACGCCAGTAGTCGAATGGTGGATTTGAACCCACGACCTTTTTGAGTTCGCGGTTCGCGCCCTGCCATTAGGCTACTGTCGCTTTTAAGTTCCCATCTGAAGTGAAAAAGAATTAGCACGTCTTTGAAATGATAAAGTAAATTATCTTTAAATTATAATATCATCGGTGCATCTATTAGTTTTTAGTATGCGAAATATATGTAATTGTGTAACTTCTGAATAAAGTATTTACGCAGTGTAAGTATTTTTGATCAGTGGATAAAAGGATGAATGTATGTTATGAAAACTTATTTTACTATACTTTTCTCCGATATGTAGTTAAACAAAAGAACTACCTACTTATTACTTCGTTCTACATTGCTATCATATATTGGAGTTTAGACCCACTTTTACATTTATTTCTATATATGGCAACCTCGTAGTATAACCAAAAAAAAAAAGAAACCAACGCTATTTTTTTAATTAAATGAACCGTCAGTTAATATATTTTTCTTTTTTTTTAAATTCAAGATACCAACAAGTGGTGAATGTACTTAACTATTAATTAACTATGAGCGTTATTAAGAGGAAAATCTAGTTAAAGCTTGATCATGATTATGTAATTTGCGCATAACATATTAAGTGATTAATTACATTAAACAAAAAACTATACGTGGTAGAGCCATGCTGCAGTTATATTGGTAGTATAGTTATAGCACGAATGGGTCGACTCGACCAGGAAAGGACCACGCTCTCACAGAATACCAGCGTAAAATAGTAGCTAAATACTGCTGTGTTTCGTATGGTTAGTGTACAGAACCGGAGGCTCTTTTTACTGGAAACGAGACATTTCATCTTAGTCCTCAAGGGTGAATACGCATCTGCATTTTGATTCGTAATCGAGGATGGATGTAGATGTCTATGGGCCGCAGCAACCACTTACCATCAGGTGGACTGTGTGCTCGTTTGTCACCCTATCTTATTAAAAAAATCTTCAAAAAGCAATTTGAGGGAATTCAACGTTAATCGGGATCTTAAACAAAATGATTTCTTTACTACCATTTATTCATTAAAATAAGTAATCTATTTATTAACTCTTCTATATTAATAAAAACTTTTAGTAACTATTCTATGGGAAATAAGTAATGCTACTATCAAACTAGATCTACTATTCAAAAGCTATAACTTTACATACTATCGTTCTTGTAATAAAACATTTAAATTAACCAAGAAAACAGGATACAGGAGTACGATGTACGAGGCAAGATAGACGTAGAGTGTGAAACATTGCACAAGCATCACTCCGGATATCATAGTCCTCAGTACTCGCTGAACCGGCATCGAAAGTTCTGGAGGCATATTCATTTGCCAAACCTAATAAACAAACCAAACATTTCTTAAGGATTTGTCGCGTGCTGCAAATATTATGTTTATAACTTTATTTCTTGTATTATTTCGTAATAAAACAGAAGAAAGTGCTAAAATCGAGGAGGCTCAGGATCATCTGTTCAGATAATCCAACCTCAAACACTTAACCCAAACTGAGCAGATAAATTACTAATCCGTCTGCTTACCGTGTTAGCTCGGGATGTGTCGTGTCGCACCTTTGGCGCCTGTAATTATAGACTGGACGGACTCTAGGTAGAAAGTAGTCGTACTCGTATCACCTCTCGTACTCAACACGTTCACTTTTTTCGACCATATTAGTAAATTCAGTTCAAGTGATTCAAGGTACAAAATCATATTCTGAATATAACATTTCCCCTAAATTACGTCCAAGGCATGATCGCCGAATAACGGCGTATGATTTTTCTCATGTGTCTAATATTACAAACGGAACAATGATAAAACATACGCAATTGATGATTTGTGTTACCTTAAGATTTTTTTATAGGATAAGGTGACATTCCACCTGATGGTAAGTGGTTGCTGCGCCCCATAGACATCTACATCTATCCTCGATTACAAATCAAAATGCAAATGCGTTGTCACCCGTGAGGACTAAGATGGAAACGAGGCGTTTCCAGTAAAAAGGGTCTCCGGTTCTCTACACTCACTATAGAAACACAGCAGCATTAAGCTACTATTTCACGCTGGTATTCTGTGAGAGCGTGGTCCTTCCCCGATCGAGCCGACCCATTCGTGATACACCTACACTACTAATATAACTGCAGCATGATATATGGTGATAGATTGTAGCGGAGGTCGAAACCGACACATAAACATATTTTGATGTTAACGTTTTGCCACCAAGTCTCTAAAGGTCAAAGGTCCAACTATATATTTTACTATATCTAAAAATTTAAAAATGTGCATACATAAACTGAATATTTTTAATTTATATATAGTTCTTGTTGTATCGCAAATATTAAAGTGTTACCATTTTTAAGTCTTATGCACTACTTCAATTTTGTAATTTAAAATAAAGAAAAAAAATCAGCTAAAAAGACAAAAAAGCTTACCAAGTTCGACTTTAAAAAAAACTATAAGTAACCGTCTAATAATATATTTATAATAAAGTATCTAATTAAATAAAGTTTTGTACAACGATTTTGTATCAAAGTTTTATAGGAGTTTTCAAGTCAAAGAAGAATTTTCCTTGATTTGAAAATTGATAAAATTTGAAAAAAGGTCGTTAAAATCGTATAATTCAAAATATAGCAGGCCAAAATACACGGCAAATTCACCGATCAAGGAGAGTCCATGTATAGCTGCGATGGAGATCGGTATAACAAATATTGACATGGGCTTAATATTCAAATATAGGACCCACATATTTTCGCTGAATCCATCCTGCCATCCTAGCTTGCAGTAGTTAAACCAAACTAATAAACAATTTTGTAATTTCGATTCATTTTGCTAAAAATTATAAAATGTTAAAAAAAGTGTGCATATACAACATGTAACATAATTAATGTACTTTGAGAAAGTTTTTTGTTCAGAATCGTTTACTGAATCGATTCCTATCATTTTTAATATAGGTAATTTTTTATCCCAAAAATAATTCAGTCACACTAAATCTGTACAGTCAAAACAAACTGAAATGGACCGTAACTTAAGGCAATAAGACTTTTAAGAGTGCAGTTTTATGTGTATTATTACTAATTCTGTCATTCAATAAAAATAAAGAAAAAAGAACTTTATTTCAAGCACGTTAAAGTCTTTGCGTTCGTGGATTTGTACTGTGACCACAACATTCTTCCGTAATTAGTATAACTAATTTAATAAATAAACAGTGCATAAAAATGTTTAACTAAAAAATCAGTGTATGTATTATGATTATAACATAATATACTAATTACATACACCCCATGAGGGTGTGCGTTAATTACGTTACATATTGTATATATATGTCTATATTAATTACATATTGTATATATATGTCTATATTATTAGTAATAAAGCATCCATATCATTTTTTTACGTGGTAGAGCCATGCTGCAGTTATATTAGTAGTATAGTTGTAGCACGAATGGGTCGGCTCGACCGGGGAAGGACCACGCTCTCACAGAATACCAGCGTGAAATAGTAGCTTAATGCTGCTATATTTCGTATGGTGAGTGTAGAGAACCGGAGACCCTTTTTACTGGAAATGAGGCATTCCATCTCAGTCCTCACGGGTGACAACGCATCTGCATTTTGATTTGTAATGGAAGATAGATGTAGATGTCTATGGGCCGCAGCAACCACTTACCATCAGGTGGACTGTGTGCTCGTTTGTCAGCCTATTCTATAAAAAAAAAAAATATTATATGTCTCAAACAGTTTTAGTTATTTTGGACACACCGTAATCTGGTGCGGAGTTACGGATGCTGACACTTAATCTTTCAACGCAAAATATTTTACGGGTTGGTTTCTGGCACCTGTTTTAGATTAGCGTTCACTTTAAAGAGCGTGGCGTCAAAGATGGTTCGCAAAAGCCCCAGTAATGTCCACAAGCAAACTTCCGCCTGCAAGCTTATACCGATGTAAGACAAAATATTCAACATTTTGACAAAGGATTCCTCTTGGTGTATAACTTCAAAACAAAGACATTTTTGTGATAATTTTTTCTATTTTGGTTTAGTGAAGTTTGTTTTTGTCATAGTTTTTGTAATTATAATTTTATGGTTAAATTTATGTATTGATTACTAATGTCATTTTTTAATGTTTTGACGTACAGTCCAGTGCTTCCAACATATTAGAATTAGTACATACCACAGAACACTATATAAATAACAGCTATAGAAAAAAACTAAACTATTTTTGTATATAAGTAAGTAATTTCATAAATAAATAACAATAAAATAATATTGGATATAGTATATTATGCACAAGAACTTCTAAATAAAATAATTATTATATAATTCTTGTAATCTTAAAAACTATCGTCATCACATCCTTCTGATGAAGTTTCTGCAGACACGTGAACAATAAATTGCTCTAACATATTGGGTGCGTTTGGCAGAAAAAAGCGCTAGCAAGCGCTTGTAAGCAAAATGGCGATCGTAAGCGGTAAGCGCTGTCAAATCGTAAGTAGCTATTTTCCTCCAGGACACGATGTTAGTTTTAACCGGGGAACCTAACCTAATTTAAATATATTAAAAAACTTACCAATCATGAATTTTTAATAACATATGTGTTTATTCATGTCATTATATTACTTAAAACTATTATTGCACAAAACAACTTATAAAGTCTACTTCAGAACAAACAAATTAAATAAGCAAAATGGCGGATTGTGTCAGCGCTACTGAAGTAGCAATCGTGTCCTGGCCGAAAATTATTTAAGCGCTTATAAGCGCTTGCTAGCGCTTTTTTCTGCCAAACGCACCCATTTTGTATATTATTGTCGACTTCGATCATTTTTTTTCGATCTTGGTTATTACATGATTCACACATGACGACCATTTTTGGCTATCCACTTTAGCTACTCCTCATAACAAAAGAGTTCGAACTTCATTCATTTTATAATTTTTGTTATTTTCTGCTACGTTACTCTTCACTTGAGTCCAAACAAACTCAATTGGGTTGGGCTCACGCTCACAGTGATACGGTGGCAAACGTATGACGCGGCGATTTGTGGACTTAGCCATCTCGTCTAGGACAAATTTTTCAAAGCGGTCTTAGTTTTGCTTAACTAAATACAAAAGTTGCAACGTCAACATTGATTCGTCACAAGCAATTTTTTCGACCGTGGTCATTCAATAATGTCTTGTTTGCGATATGAAGTTGTAGGTGCTTTGTCAAGTTTTCGGAAATGATACGATGCATTATCTCAAACAATAACTGCATTCTCATTCAATTTAGGTAGAACGTCTTAGAAGCTTAGAACCAATTTTCAAACATTTTGGCGTCCGTATATTGGTGGTAGTCACCGGTTTTATTAGATTCAAAATATTTCAATCCTCCTTCTACAAATCCATTAATACTGCCGATATGTACAATTATGATGTGCCGCTTGTCTTTTCCTGCAATAATAATAATAAAGCATCCGTCAGGGAAATTACGTATATACAGAGTGCTTCAAAAAAATGTATACACACTTTAAACTATTGTAGTTTTTCCGCTCTACAAGGCTAATGTTATATTTCTTCGCCAGGTGCCAGCATAATAGTCCCTCTATGTTATATTATCAGTTGGAATTTGTAATATCAACATGGGGGACGTACGTTTGAGTTTTGAAGAACGTAAGCAGGTTATTACGTGATACGGGATACGTGAACCGGGATTTATGGGTAGCATCATTTGGTCGGATGAAGCCCAATTCAAACTTAATGGAACTGTCAATGGGCACAATTGTGTTTACTGGGGTGAAGAAAATCCTCACATTACAATTGAAAAAGCTGTAAATTTGCCTGGTATAAATGTGTGGTGCGGTTTGTCTTTAAGGGGACTCATTGGACCTTTTGGATTTGAAGGCACTGTAACTGGTATTAATTACCTAACAATGCTTGCTGATTCCATATTTCCTGCCATTCGTGCATTATACGGTAATGATGATTTTTATTTTCAACAAGATGGTGCTCCGCCGCACTATCACAGGGACGTACGAGCTTACCTGGATCAAAATTTGTCGGGCCAGTGGATAGGACGCAGGGGGCCAATCGAGTTTCCAGCACGCTCTCCAGACCTTACACCACTGGATTTCTTCTTGTGGGGCACAGTAAAAGATGAGGTGTACAAACGTAAACCACGTAACCTAGACATTCTTTGGAATGAGATTCAAGCAGTGTGTAGAGAAATCTCATTGGACGTTTTGATACGATGTACAGAATCTGTGGTGACTGGTACTCAGAATTGTATTGATGCTGCAGGTCACCAATTTGAACAGTATTAACATTTGTTATTTATGTTTCATTTACATTGGACTTTCAGCTTTCTATTTTCCTGAAATTTAACTTTGTAGAACGGTAAATAAATTTTCTATGGAAGTTCAAAGTGTGTATACATTTTTTTGAAGCACCCGGTATTTATATGATATGTTCAGATTTATAAATAAAATATATATTAAAAAAATAAAACTTGTATTATATATATATATATATATATATATATATATATATATATATATATATATATATATACTCTCGACTTCGTAAACACAACAGCGTATAGGTTAGAACACGCACGGTTTGCTTAATACATATACGCATTGATATTGTAATATTAAAATATAATTTGCTTTTAAATTTATTAAAGTTATGACGCGTACACTTGCTAAACACACAATAATAGAGAGATCTTGGTTAGCACAATAGTAAAGAGAGGTTATAATGCGTACTTGATAAAAATACATAAGCATTTATTATTGTCTGTATAAAATCTTTACTTACCTAACTTTATTAATTAGGTAACTATTAGCAATATCCGGAACTTGTGCAGAAACACTGTCAGGATTCATTATTGTTATTATTTTTTATTATTTATTATGTACAAAAAACCTGTATACACTCAACAAAAATAATCGTCGCGACACCACACTGTCCAATGCGAAAATAACTGCCTTCTGCCTTGCTTTCTATGAGAGAGAGAGACAGACAGACAGAGAAATACGTGCACACCGCACGGCTTACAACTATAATAATAATTTTTTCCGTCTAGCCCCCTTTCGCAACGCGCAATAAGAAACTTCGTTCCAAAAAGAAAATACAAAATTAAACACAATATTGATGGTTTTTTCAATCCTGTTGATAGCCAATCTAAGAATGCAGACCTCGATGTAGTCACTGCATTGTCAACCCAGACTTTTAATTTTGTATGACCGGCGTTTACCTACGTTTCATCTAAATAATATATAGTAGTTCCGTTTTTTCTGGATGCCTATATACTTCGCCTTTACTATTTCGTCACCATAAAACTATGTATATCCGGCTTTTCTACTAAAATACTATTTCTAGCTCTTTTATTATAGGAAGTACCTGTGGGACACCTGAGTTGTTCGCCCTAATCTCTGATCTGTACGTCACACTCAGACACCCATCATCCTGCCTCGATACTTCCATAAACTCAGTCCTTTCACTGCGATAGCTTATCCAATCATATGACAGTCCTCGCACACCATAATGCTCAAGCTGATTTAGAAGTGTCTTATGATTGTCAAAGTCAAACGCCTTACTCATATTGAAAAGAATGGTGTTTACGGGAACCCTGTTGCCCATATAGATCGATATGTTCACAATAAGGGAGTAGCAGGCCAGTGTTGTTGACCTTTCCTTCCGAAACCGAAACTGTTCCTCCCTAATTATGCTGTGTTTTGTGAAAAAATAAATTAATCTAACCTGCATGATCTTTTCAAATATTTTTGACAAAACTGGGATAAGTGTAATGAGTCTGTAGTTGTTTAAATTACGCCTCTCTCCGCATTTAAATAGTGCTTGAGAATGAACATTTTAAGAGTGCTTGCCCTCTTCAAAGCAACGATTCACAAAATGTGTCAGGAAAGGTTCCTTAAGGTTCCTACTTCCTTCGTCCATATCGCATCATGACCTGTGGAATTTGTATTGTTCAGAGTGTTTATAATTTTGATTATTTTATTTCGTCAGTAGTGTTTAAAAATATAGATGCGGTAGTAGTACTTTCGATGAACTTCAGTTTGTTTGAGTTACATTGATAGTTACCAGGTACTTTTGTCGAGTCAATAAAGTGATTATTAAACGCGTTTGCAATATCTGAAATAATATCTGTAATTTTGTCATTTATTTAGGTAGTCAATATTATGTTTGTCATTTATACTTCGTCCTTGTTATTTATTATGCCCGGGGAGCGGCCAGCACTCCGAGTGATAGTTCGGAGAAGTTCTATGTATACTTTCTACGATTCGGAATGTTAATAGCGCGATTTAAGGCTTCGGTGTGTTTCGGTGTGCTAGTGGCGCGACGACAGCGCCGCTACATCACCGCCCTGCTCAGACCGGAGGTCGATAGTGCAGCCTCATGGCCGACGAATGTGCAAGTGCCAGTGGATTGCCTTGTAGTCTGCGGTGAGTCGAGAAGAAGGCAAGTAATCTGCGAGAGTGCCGTGAAGCAGAGGCAAGCAGTAAGGCTCAGAGCCGTGCCGAACACTGTATGGCGCAGAGAGTAGCTTGAAGGAACAGGAAGCATTATTATTCCAGTGCTGCGATGAACCTTGTGAAGCTGGATGGCTTGCAATATATGAAGACTGCAGACGATATGTGCTTGGGAGCGAATGGCCTAATGACGATGTTGTATTTTTATGACGATGATGAAGCTTGAAGTTTCCGAAGGTTGTAGGTTGCGTGTTCAGATCACATCGGGGTCACCACTGTGGCCGTGGAAGGAAAAGGGGAGATCTCCCGCCGGGCAAGGTGTTCTGCCCGGGGAGCGGCCAGCACTCCGAGTGATAGTTCGGAGAAGTTCTATATATACTGTCTACGATTCGGAATGTTAATAGCGCGATTTAGGCTTCGGTGTGTTTCGGTGTGCTAGTGGCGCGACGACAGCGCCGCTACAATTATATTCCAAGAGGCTTTGCATTTATTCCTGGATGT